AGCTTTCTCATTCTTTTTCCCCAACTTCGGGGGCATTCCAGTGCGTCCCTTTGGGGTGGCTCCTGCTTGTGGCTGGGGCAGTACGTTTAAAACGCGCTGCATGGGGCAGGACCGGTCAATAAACCACAGCGACTCCTTGATTTTAAAAAAAGCGTGCGATCGTTTTCGCCGTGCCCCCGTGATGCAAACGAAACTTGCGGGCAGTTTGTCTCCCCATCACCTTGTTTCCCCTTAGTGCGTCTGGAAAAAAGTACGAAAACTGGTGTAAATTTTCTCCTGACCGGCTCCTTTTGGGCGGGTTCCGGGTTGATATAGCAACCCAAACCCTAGTGTTGCCAATGAAATTGGCAATCTTTGGTCCGTATTTTCAGGGACCCACTATGCCCCTATTTTTTTCCCTCAAAGTCTGCCAAGAGTTGCACCCTTGGACTTTTCTTCTCCAGAGAAAAAACATATAATGTCCTTTTTACACTTCAAAACTGGGGCAACACTCTCAGCTTGCGATCATCACAGCGGGGCCCCCGACGACATTCAATTCGATGCTAAAACTTTACATCATCAGCCCTTCATCCTTTTTACGCCTTTACAATTTTTATTGGTCACAAGAGTTTTTTCCACAGCTGTGGAAATCCGCCATTGTTCCCCCCTTTCCGCAAACCAGGCCTACGGGACTGAAAACCTCCCACATCGTCCCATTCTCTTCCCAGTGCTTTGCAAAGTAAGGGAACGCTATAAATAGATTTTTAGTGTGGATTTAGAGACCACAAAGTCTCTCCACCGTCAATATGGCTTTCGAAAGGGGAGTTCTACCATAGACCCCTTACTGCGTTTGGGATACGTATGTTCGTATGCCTTTGCGAATAACCACTCATTTTATTGCCATATTTTTTTGCCCTTTGAGAAGGATATGACACAATTTGGGAGGTAAAATATTTTAGCCCAAGCCCACTCCTTAGGCCTTCGGGGCAATTACCATCCTTCCTTTAAAGAACTTTTTAACTGACAGGCATTTCGTTTTTTGGGTTAATAATGTGCTCTCCCGGACTTACCAATGAAGGTGCCCCCCAGGGATGTGTTCTGGCACAACACTTTTTCCCTTGCTTTTAATGTTTTTGGGCCTCTAGTTTTTTCCATCAAATATTTGGTCATCACTCTATTTTGAGGACTTCGCTATTGCCTGTGCAGGCGCTGACTGTCACCTCCTTACAGTTTCTCCCCCAACATGCGTCGACCTTTTTCCCTTTTGGGCCACCAAAAACAGGGGTTTAAATTTTCCAGCACTAAAACCCCCAAATCACTTTCACTAACGTTGTCATTCCATCATCCTTTTACCTCTTGGGTCCCGTATCCTGAAGTAATCAAGTTTTTGGGCCTCCTCTTTGATCTAGTTATCCTGGGAAACCCCAAATTACCTCCTGAAGGCAACTTTTTCACAGCCGGGTGAAAACCCTTTTTAAAAAACCCCTTTATCTTTTGTGGGGAGCTGATCGTCGAACCCCCCCTTCACCTACATTCCACCCTTATTTTATCGAAACTTGATTATGGTGACCCCGATCTATTCACGCTCTCCTGCACCTCTCTAGCCTTTAAACCCCCTTATCACCAAGGTTCGTTTATGCCTTGGTGCTTTTTGCTCTTCCCCTGTCAAAGCCCTTATGCAGAAGGGAAACGTCCCTCCCTTTCTGACGCGTGATGCCATTGCCCGCGCTATATGTACGCTCTCATGACTCCCCCAATCCTTCCATTTATAAATGGTCCCCTGATATTAGTAGACATTCTTTTTTTGTTCGCCGCCCCTGTTTACCCCCGTCCCTTCTCTTTCGCCTTCATTCGCTCTTGTCTTCTCTTCAATACCACCCTTTTTATGTAATGTAGCATCCCTTTTCCCTACCCCCCCGGGAAATTCCAGCTTTGAGTCTGTTCTTTTTTTCCCTCCCTTTTCGAAAGCCCAACTGTCTCGGTCGCTTCCCCCCCCTTTTCTTGACCACTTTCACCCCATTTCATGCCCTTGCTGTGTACACAGATGGCTTTGTCTTCTGACGGGGTAGGATTCGCAGCAGTGTTTCCGGGCGCGTCGTACAAGGGCATTTACTTTCTTCGGGTAGATTTTTTTCTGGAATTATATGCATCCTTACAGCACTATCCTACATCTATGCCTGTGTCTCATTTGTGGTTTCTCAGACTCCCCCTTTGTGCTTTTTCAGGTATACAAAAATTTGAACACCTACCCCTTTGTCCTCCGTATCCCAACTTGGCTACGCCGCATCTTTTCCAAGCAAAAGATATTGTTTTTTTTTGGGTCCCCCGGCATGTTTTACGTACAGGGCAATGAACAGGGAGACACTGCTGCGCGGTCAGCAGTACATGACCTACCAGTTTCTTATAGAGGTATTCCATGTACGGACTATTTTGCTGTAATTTTTTTCCCACCTTCACCCCCCTTTTTGGCAACAACTTTGGGGTAAAATTTTGCCCCGGCAAAAAATTTCAGTCTATTAAACCGAGAAAAAGGTTACGGGCCCCGCTTTTTTATCACCAGTGTCGGGGGTTGGGGAGACTATCTCTCCCATCTTGGGCATTGGCCTTACTCTTCTTACTCGTGGATATCTCAGGGGAGAGGCGCCCTTGTTTTCCCCTTGTAGAATTGCCAAGCTCCTTTAAATCACCACATTTTTTGGACTGCCCACTTTTAAACAAACCCGGGCAAAATTTTACCTCTGCCCGTCCCCCCCCGCCCCGCTGCTTTTTCTCTTTTACCTTCCCTTCTCGCTGATGGACCCCCCCTTTTCCATCCGGACTCTCTCATTGACTTTTTTGAAAACCCGACTGACTGACTTTCCCCAAATTCCCTGTTTACTTTAAAAGCCCTTTCAAACTTCAATCTCTTGCTACCCTCAAAACCCCCGTCTATCCCCGGGCCCCGCTTTTTTCGGGTAACCTGTGATCATCCCCCCCCCCCCTTCGGGCCACCCAAAATTCCCCTTTGGGCTTCCTTCCCTCCCTTTGGGCAGCGCTGAAATAGCCCTTGTGGCTTGGGCCTTCTTTTTTGGATTATAATTTAAAAATGGGGAAACATTACCATCCTCACGTAGCACATAACCCAATGATTCAGGGGTGCTTCCCCACACGGGTTAAAAAAAAGGGGGGGGGGAAATTTTTTCCCCCCCATCCTTCTGGGACGGGGGGAAAACAAAAATGCATTGCCCCGAAAAGACTGGGGAAAACCCTGGAACTGGGAAAACCATGGAGCTTTTCTTTGACTCCTAGGATGATATACATTGGTAAATTTAACCTCAAGTAGGCCTCTCAAAACTACATGACATTTCATAAAATATGACTTCTGGGTGATTTGTGCCAAGCCTAAGAGACAAAAATGTTTCGCCAAAAAACTCAAAACCACACACACAAAATTAATCAGAAAGGGTATAGACTCTGGTAACCTGTTAGAAAAGGAATTTATTAATAAACGCTGATTATTTAGCTCTCCTGTCTTAACACTGAAATGCCGTTCCTTCAGAATCTGTAAAAAATACTGACAGACACTTTAATAGTTCTGCCGTGGCCACATAAGCACAGGTCCTCTTAAAAAGTCTTGCTCATTTGATCAACTCTGCAAAATAAACACGTGGTAAATTTGGGAACCACATCCTCCGCGACAACTGATAAATGAATAGCGTTCCGGAGTTCTTTATAATTACAGTTAGAGTACTTTACAGTACCCCCAAAATGCACATTATAAATTATAAAATTATTCTTTACAACTATAATATTCATATTATTATGGCACACTTCTCCACTATGTGTACATTACGATGTCATGCAGAACCCTGCATAACACAAACGCACGCGCGCGCGCGCGCGCCACACACACCACCACACACACACAACACACACAACACACACACACACACACACAAAACACACCACACACACACACACACACCCACACACACACACACACCCCACACACACACACACACACCCCACACACACACACACCCACCACACACACACACACACCCACACACACACACCACACACACAACACAACCACACACCACACACACACCACACAGAGAGAGTGGATCCCCAGTTTTCAATATTAATCCGTTCCTGAGAGCTCATTGTATACCAAAATTATTGAAAATCGAATCAATTTTCCCCCATAAGAAATAATGGACGTTAAATTAATCCGTGCAAGACACCTAAAAGTATGAAAAAAAAATTTTTACCACATGAAATATTAAGTTTAATGCACACAAACTGAAGACATGCACAGTTTGTAGTACTCTGCTAACAACAGAATACATGACACTTGCCTTTAATGAAGATCTGGTGATGATTGATGGGATGGGGGAGGGTGGAAGGGGAATCCCCTTCCATTAGGACTTGAGGTAGCAAGTCCTTTTCTGGCATTACTTCCCTTCTTTTAATGCCACTAGGACCAGCTTGAGTCCCTGGACTTCTGTGTACATAGAGGCCTGTACCTCTCGTTCCTTTGACTTTCCTAAAGTGGTTCACAACATTTGTCATTGTAATAATCACCAGCACGGCTTGCAATAGCTGTGTTAGGGTGATTTTCATCAAAAAAGGTTTGCACTTCAAGCCACTTTCCACACATTTCCTTAATCTTTAAAGTGGGCAACTTCTTCAATTTCTCAATCCCCTCCTCTGAAGCAGTTGCCTCAGGTCTGGCCTCTTGCTGTTGAAGATGATCTAGCAGCTCATCAGTGGTTAGTTCGTCATTGTCCTCCTCCACCAACTCTTCCACATCCTCCCCACTAACCTCCAACCCCAAGGACTTCCCCAATGCCACAATGGTTTCTTCAACTGGCATAGGATTCTCAGGGTTAGCCTCAAACCCTTCAAAATCCCTTTTGTCTACACATTCTGGCCAGTTTTTTTCTGAGCAGAGTTCAAGGTCCTCTTAGTCACTCCCTCCCAAGCCTTACCTATAAGGTTTACACAATTTTTTTTTTTTTTATCACACTGGCCGATTCCCACCAAGGCAGGGTGGCCCGAAAAAGAAAAACTTTCACCATCATTCACTCCATCACTGTCTTGCCAGAAGGGTGCTTTACACTACAGTTTTTAAACTGCAACATTAACACCCCTCCTTCAGAGTGCAGGCACTGTACTTCCCATCTCCAGGACTCGAGTCCGGCCTGCCGGTTTCCCTGAACCCCTTCATAAATGTTACTTTGCTCATACTCCAACAGCACGTCAAGTATTAAAAACCATTTGTCTCCATTCACTCCTATCAAACACGCTCACGCATGCCTGCTGGAAGTCCAAGCCCCTCGCACACAAAACCTCCTTTACCCCCTCCCTCCCATCCTTTCCTAGGCTGACCCCTACCCCGCTTTCCTTCCACTACAGACTGATACACTCTTGAAGTCACTCTGTTTCGCTCCATTCTCTCTAAATGTCCGAACCACCTCAACAACCCTTCCTCAGCCCTCTGGACAACAGTTTTGGTAATCCTGCACCTCCTCCTAACTTCCAAACTATGAATTCTCTGCATTATATTCACACCACACAATTGAGGATATTGAAGTGATCCTTCCAAAACTTTGTCAGTTGAGTGTCTGAGGTCACTTCAAAGCACTTTTTAAACATAGCTTTTGTGTACAGTTTCTTGAAGTTGGAAATGACCTGCTGGTCCATGGGCTGCAGGAGAGAAGTGGTATTAGGAGGCAAAAACTTGACTTTAATGAAGCTCATGTCCCCAGAAAGTTGCTCTGCCAAGTCTGTAGGATGATCAGGGACATTGTCTAATACCAGGAGGCACTTAAGGTCTAATTTCTTTTCAATTAGGTAATTTTTCACATTGGGGGCAAATGCATGGTGTAACCAGTCATAGAAAGTGCCTAGTGACCCATGCCTTACTGTTTGCCCTCCACAGCACACACAAATTAGCCTTGAGGATATTCTTTTGCCTGAACGCTCTGGGAGTTTGAGTGATACACCAATAAAGGCTTCACTTTGCAATCACCACTAGCATTGGCACACATAAGAAGAGTAAGCCTGTGTTTCATAGGCTTATGTCCTGGGAGTGCCTTTTCCTCCTGAGTAATGTAGGTCCTGCTTGGCAGTTTCTTCCAAAGCAGGCCTGTTTCGTCGCAATTAAACACTTGTTCAGGTTTCAAGTCTTCACTGTCTATGTAACCCGTGAATTCCTTCACATATTTTTCAGCTGGTTTTTGGTCCGAACTGGCAGCCTAACCATGGCTAATCACACTATGTATGCCACTACGATTCTTATATCTTTCAAACCAACTTTTGCTGGCCTTAAATTCACTTGCATCACCACTAGTTGCAGGCATTTTTTTCAATTAAATCCTCGTGCAACTTCCTAGCCTTTTCACAAATGATTGCTTGAGATGCTATCTCCTGCTATCTGCTTTTCATTTATCCACACCAATAACAGTCTCTCAACATCTTCTAACACTTGTGGTCGCTGTTTCAAAATCACAGTTGCACCTTTTGCAACAACAGCTTCCTTGATTGCCGTTTTCCTTGTCGCTATAGTAGCGATGGTTGATTGGGGTTTTGTATTCAACCTGGCCAGCTCGACACACGCACTCCACTTTCGTACTTTGCAATTAGCTTTCTTCATTTCAATAGTCATTACCACCCTTTTTCTCAAAGGGTTGGCACTAGAAGCTTTCTTGGGGCCCATGGTGACTTATTTTGCAGAAACAAGCACCCAAAACCATTGATAATGTGGAATGTACTGAATGTATCCTTAGATGCAAGCACACTGGCTGGCTTGTAAACACTGGCACAGACTGGGCAGTTCAGGCCACACGTGGACTCGTCTCAGACGAATCTCGTGTGGCGGGTTTTTGAACGAGAACCGGGGCAAAATTTTTGTGTTAAAAGGTATCGAATACCGGATTCCGATGCCATCGAATACCAGGGGCCCACTGTATATACACACATACATACATACATACATACATACATACATACATACAGTGGAACCTCTACTTGCAAGTGTGTCTACGTGCAAGTTTTTCCAAATACGAGCAGTCGATGGTTAATGTCACCTTTGCACCATTTATAACATTTTTAGTATATTTTTAAATGTTTATGCAGAAATGTACTGTATATTGTAATACAGAATAGAGGAAATCAGTTCTAATACACATTATTTAGGTATGCATACTGGCCAGAGAGCCTATCGTAAGTCCTAGTCTGTAAACGAGTGTCACTAAGTGAGGAGAGGCTGTATTTTATATAATAAAGAAAAAATTGTTTATATATGTACTGTATAAGACTACACAACTTCACTGCTCAGTCTGGAGTGATACTGATGCTCTAATTATGCTAGTCCAATATGTATCAGTCCAATCAGTGTGTAATTTAGTTAAATAAAATTTATATTAAATTTAAAAACCGTATATCAGAACCCATACTATGCAAGGTATTACTGTACCTAACTGACAATAATGTTTCACTGTGAATATAGTTCATATTCTAATTTGGTTAAGCATAATATGAAGTATTGTATTGTGTATTGTAAATGTAGAAAAGTTAATCTGGTATAAAATATTGTAGTCTTGTGGCAAATTAAGTATTTTTCCCAGTTTATTTATATACATGTACTATATTTTATTAATGGTTTTTCTTTGAGTACACTGTTGAGCACTTTTTGGTATCTTTAGTCTACCCTCTTGTGTAATGAATTGTACAATTCATCATTCATTGCATGGCACCACTGCTTCATCTGCACTGTTTTGACAAAAAAAAAAAAAAAAAAAAAAAAAAAAAAGGTACTCTTTTTCTTCGTAATTTAATTGTAGATTATTCTTGGTCTCATAATTTGCAATGGTATATATCACCAGTATTTAGAAATGCATTACTTAATTTTTTCATCTTTTATGATATTTAGGAGGGTCAAAGAGCAGTAGTTCATACAGGTTTTTTTACTTTTAGCATCAAAAACTGTACCTAGGAGATCAGGAGTAGTCCAACACAATAAATCCATCAATTTAGAGTCCAGCAAGCCATATAAGCCAAATGTCGCCTCTCAAACATTTGCAGGAATCAAAGTATCACGAAGGCCACTCAGTGATGACACTAATCAACAAAGGCTAAAGACTACTGCAGTATCTGCTACAGGTATTCAGTATTGCCATTTTCTTCAGGATTGTCTTGGTACAAGTCAGTAGTATACTTTTGCTCTTCCACTGAATGTTTTTAGTAAATCTGTATGATATAAAGTACTTTCTTGTAGCTGTTGCCCTAATTATGCTGTCACACTATTCATTTGCCAGTATGCTAGCCTGTTTAAAAAAGTGTTCCTTGGATTTATTTTTTTTTTTTTTTTTTTTTAACACATCAACCATTTCCGACTAAGACCTGCTGGTCTTAGCCTGAAAGACACTTTCATAATCATTCATTCCATCACTTTTGGCAAAGGCATGCTTACACTACAGTTATAAAACTGCAACATTAACACCACTCCTTAAGAGTGCCGGCACTGTACTTCCCATCTCCTGGAATAGTCTGGCCAGCTGGTTTCCCTGAATCTCTTCATAAGTGTTACCTTGCTTACAGTCCAACAGCACATCAAGTCAGGTCCTAAAGTCCATTTGTCTCCATTCGCTCCTGTCTAACACACGCATGCTTGCTGGAAGTCCAAGCCCCTCATTTAGCATTAAAAGAAATGGAGAGACTAATAAAACTACAGCCTCTCCTCACTTAATGACGGAGTTCCATTCCTAAGACCATGTCATTAAACAAATTCGTTACTAAGTGAGGAGCAGACTACAATAGTAGCGAGTTTGTGTTGACCATCTTTGATATTGTTTTAATATCACCTTTGCACCATTTATAACATTTCTGGTATATTTTTAAATGTTTATACAATACTGTACTGTATATTGAAATAGAATAGAGGAAATCAGCTCTAATGTACATTATTTTGGTGTAAATACTGGTCAGAGAGCCCTTCGTAAGTTCGAGGTGTCGGTAAATGAGGAGAGGCTGTATTTGGAAAAAGGCCTAGTATCATTTTATGGCTTGTGTGACAAACCATATTAATCATATGTATCTCGACTTGCCACTCCTTATTGCCACCTTATTGTCAGCAGGTGGCCTTGGGTAAAAAATGGTGCCTGGAGTATTTGCTGTTACTGGTGAGGGCCACATTAATGCTCCCAGTAATTTAGGATTTGTGTAAGGGTTGCACTGCATAATGTCTTTGTGATGCTGGGGAAGGGGAACTTTGCATCAATTTTGAAGTTTAAATCTTTTTGATGGGTTTGATAGGGCAGGAAATGAGGAGTGTAGGCAAGAGAGAAAGCAAGTACACCCTTACTTACACTGACAAAGGCAACTGAATTGCCTTTGTTAGGAGGAAAAAAGTGTTCGTAGATTTAAGAGGCTATAGTAAGCTGTTAGTGATGATTCTTAGAAAAAAGTCGAAGGCAGGAATAAAAGAACCATAAATAGTACATATATCGTAGGAAGCTATGGAAGTAACTATTTAAACTGGCCAAAGGAGTGACCAGGTCAGTGAAAGTTTGAAGAAGTGACAAAGGATAAATCTTACTATTATGCTAGTGACACCAAGTGCCATATTACAAGATGGTACAGTACCAAAAGTACGAAGTATAATAACCGAGCGTCGCAAATGATAAATTCTTCCTTTATGCTAACACTCAGGGTTTTGAAATAAGAATAACACTTTCCAAGTTTGCTCCTTGCAGAAGCAAATGCAATATTAGGAGTACTTTCAGAAATGCCCAGCCGTTAGACTTGAATCACTGTACAGATCTTAATCTTGAAATTATACTTTAGAAATAGGTATTAAAGTGGCTAGCAAGAATCTGGTAATTATCCGTGTATATAGGGGTGGGATGATATCAGTTTTTTGATGCTGATATTAAATTTTAGGCTCATAACACCAAAATTAGCTAGTTGATACTTGCCAATACTGGTACTGATGCCTTCAAAATTGGCAGCTGCCACTACCTACTGATACTGTTTTTCTTCCAATTCCCTAAAAACATGTTTTGGACCATTCTTAAATCACAACTGAGAGAGTAACAGATAGGGAAGGCCAGAAAACAATCTGGGGAGGAGCAGCACCATACTAATAGTGCAGGAGTTGTGGTTGTGGTAATGTAGTGGTAATGTTAAAAAAAAAAAATTGCGAATAATAAAAATAGTAGTGAAAAAATTAGTAATAGTGGTAGAAGAGGTAGTGTAAAATAAGAATAAAGGATCACTGAAGGATCTTCTCTAGCAATTGAAGTATGTATACTCAATGCATTCCCTAAGGAAAACGGTGTAAACAAGCCTGACCCAAGGCCAGGCTCTGGGAGTAGGACTTTTGGAACTCGTGAAAAGGTATGATGCAGCCACTGTGTTGGGTTCTGCCCCAAGTTCAGTGAAGCTCTGATGGTGCATTAGTTGGATAATGCTAGAATAGGACATTTTGTCCACTGCTTCAAGGCTGTTCTACTTTTGGAGTAGCCATGAAGCAGGTAAGTCTCTTACCATTATTATTATCCATTAACCCTTTCGGGGTCAGTCCCATTGTACTACGGCTTTGAAGCCAGAGTTGGTCTGGTAGTACTGCACCATGAGCTCAGTAAGCTGTGAGCAGTAAATTTTGGCACCATATAAAATCCTGCAGCACACAGGGCATAATGAGAAGAAAATGCAGCACTGTTTCTTGGTTTAAAACAGTGATTGCAATGTATTTTCACATGGTTTTTATGGTTGTATTTTCAGTTTTTTGGTCTTGTTTAATAAAGTGGAAGATATATTACAGAAATAGATGATTTTGGTTGGTTTCAGGATTGAAAATAGCTTGAGGTTGAGCTCAAAATAGTGGAAATGTTCAATTTTTGTCAATATTCCATAGTAAAGAAATTCGCTTGTCCATTATGCATCCAACTGGCCAATCTAATAGTTATTTAAGGATGCACTACATTATTTTTAGTTATTACAATAATGCAGTAGTCTGCATGAAAGTAAATTATTTTTTTTTATTATATAAATTCAAAGTGGAGAAAGACCGTAGTATAAGAGGGGCCTAGAGACAAGATTAAGGAACAGAAGAAATGTTTTAGCACCAGAAATGTTTGCATTGTTCCGAACCCTATTTATAAATTGGCAATTTTTTGTGATATTGGCCAGATTACAAATTTCTGATCATATTATTGGGTAAGTGAATGGGCAGTTTCTTGTAATCAGTCGATAGAATAGAAGGAATGCTAGCAAAATAGCTTAGATTTTGGTCAACTGGAACAAAGGAATTTGCCAAAAATAGGGCGCTAAATAGGCAAAATTGCCAATGCATAAATGTCGCCAAGAGCACTAACTTTGCGAGAGCATAATTCTGCAAGTTTTCCATCAAACTTCGTACTTTTTATTTCAGTACCTTTGGAAAAAGATTCTCTATCATTTAATTAAATTTTCTTATTCTTCGATTCTGAGATAGTTTGAGATTAGGGGTCTTGACTCTAATAGGGTTAGATATGCCATCAGAGCTCCATTGCAGAATTTGATCAATCCAATGATGAATAAGCCCAGTCTTGAAGTTGCATAGCCCCACTTTCAATTGATGTACAAAAATCCAGATTTTAACCCTTTACTACCATGTTTCATTGATAAAAAGTTTGTCCTGCAGCCAACAGAATTTTCCTTGTAGACTGTACAGTACATTGTAGAAAAACTTCATCTTATCCTGACTAGGCCTTAGTATAAATATTTTCCATCTCCAGACTAGGGGTTTGTTTTACTAATGTGTTTTTTTAATTTTTAACATGCAATAAAAAGTACTGTGCATATTACATTTTGCCTTTATATGTAGTAGGGCTATTTCTTTTCTCAGTTGATTTATATATTCATATGTGGCAGTGTCATAAGTAAAAGGTACTGGAATATGTGACTGAGAACTTACTTATTTACAGCTTCGAAGTCTCTACATGGCAAACACTTATCAGCATCAAGGCTAGAGTCAAGAGGAGAAACAAAGGTCCAGACCACAACTACTGAGCTTCGGGGTCCCCTCCAAACAAACCGTACAGCTGCAGTCATAAGAAAACCACTTAGTCGTCCTTTGAGGAAGTCTACTGCACTCTTGGGTATAATATATCATAATATAGGTTTTGTATTCTTCACATTCAGAATTAAAATGTTACTTTATACACCCACTCCTCAAAAACACAGGAGTGCCTGTATACCCAACATAAGGAAGAAATGTTGTGAAAAGTAAGGTAATGTTTTGTGGTGTCCATTAGCCTATAAAAGAAATATTAGATTCCCAAGTTGAGACAATATGGGTTTTGAAGTAACAGTAAAATATACTTCAGCTAAAAGCACTTGGTGAAAATGCATGTATGCCCTCACACCGAACAAAAAGAAAACGATTGGACTGAATTGCAGAATTGGAACAAAACCAGGTAAGGCAGGAATTAATGAAAGGCAAATTGAATAAGGATAATGAAAATTTGTCAGGTGAAATAATGATTTCTCAACTCTTGAAGAAAGCACTGAGAGTTAACTGATATGAAGAGGTCAAACATGGACAATGAATTGGTAAAGAATATAGTAGATATAGAGAAGAGAAAAGACTTTGAGTATAAAACACTAAGTTATGCAGGAATACCTCTTCAAGGGGGGGCTCCTTGGCATGGTGAAGAAGCTCTTGGTCTGAGGAATTAGACCTGTCAGTCTCCTTCCTCAGACCAAACCTAATTACCCCCAATCCCCCCTTCCCTATCCCATCCTCCCCTTTTTCCTTTCCTCCTCCTCCTCCCCCACCCCTCCCTTTTGCCCTTTCTTTTTTGGCCTTTGGGATTTTTCCCACAGGCGTGCTAGTTCCTGGGTAGGGGAAAGGGTACCAGGGTCCATCCTATTCCGTTGAGGTTCTTGGCGGTGGCGTAGTTTGCCGTGGAATCTGGATCGCCTGGGGATGTCCCGATCCCTCTCCGGTATTCCGGAGGGTGGCTTTGGGTGTCTTTCGGGCGACGGGTGTATCTGGAAGCCACCTTTCGGATTCCCATGGTGGTGGCCGAAGGAGGTATGCTTTGTGGCGGATATCCGGCCGCCCTCTCTTTTGTCCACCGAGGTAGCTCGGCAGATGTGAGGTTGCTATCCCGGATTGCTGGTTTACTGGCATGATGGGTAGGGTATGGCACGGGTTCCATGCTGCATCTGTGCTACTTGCGGTGCTGAGGTCCTCTTGGGTTCGGAGGGAGATTTCTGGCCTTCTCATTCCTCCTAGGAACTATCCCTCCCTGGTCACCCCTTTTTAATTTTTTTTTAAACAAAAAGAAAGAAAAGTAACCTAACCATGGAGTACCCGATCCATGACCCCGCTACCCCCGGGCCCCTTATTGTTACCGCACCTTGTTCTGACCCCGCCTCGTCTTTTGGCCACTCTTCAGACATTCCTAAGGCCCCTGTACCTCTTGCTGTTGCTGTTTCCTCGCCCACTTCAGGTACCGGGGCTTCCACTGGCTCCTTAGATTTGTCTGACCTCCCCTCTCCTTTGACTATGCTTCCGGCTTCTCCCTCTACGGTGCGTCCCACGTCGGACCGACTTGGGTCTTACTTCTAAATGTCAGCGACAATCTCCTAATGATGTTACTTCGTTACCTTCCCTTTCTACTCGGAAAAGACCGACATCTCATGCACTCCCTCTCCACACTGTTTCAGACCACACAATGACTAAATTCTTTACATTAAGACCGACTTCTTCTACTGCCTATCTTTCTGACCATAGTATTGGCAAAGCGCTCCTATGCCACGTTGGTAGAGATATTTCCTTTCATGCTCTTAAGAGTGGTATGTACATCATCACAGTCCAGAATTCTACTGAAGCTCATGATCTTTCTCTTTCACATGTCGATACTATTCTTATCACTATCGAAAAACATCATTCCCTCAATTCTTGTAGTGGTACTGTTATTCTGCCCCATACCATAGTCCAACAGAATTTCCAGACATGTGGCACTGACATTCTCGAACAGCTGGAACTCCAAGATCTCCCAATTCTCAAGGTAGACACTTATGTTCTTCCTGCCCGCGGGTGAAGATGATACCCTTGCAATGTGGCTCGTTTAACTTTTGACAGCCGTGAACTCCCATCCTCTGTTTATGTAGCAGGACGTCGGTTGCAAGTTCGGAAGGTGATCCCTACACTGCAACACTAGGAATTCCTGGCGATTTGGCCACCCAGCAAAATATTGCAGATCTATAGCCGATTACCCAGTCTGTGGTGCCGATGACCATTCTAATACGTCTTGCAGTCGAACTCCCTCTTGCCTCAATTGTCATGAGGCTCGCCCTTCGTACTCTTGCCGTTGCCAAGTCTACTTAAATGAGCGGGAAATTCGTTGCCTCAAAGGCAGAAGGTCTCCCTTATGCTATGGCGGTTTCTCATCTCCGCCTCCGAGGGAGACTGCCCCGTGTTTGTTATTCTTGTGTTTCAAAGCGTCCCCCCACTTCTGGGGTCACATCTTCTGCAGCCTCCTCTGCGGTTGCCAGTCCCATAGTCACTCCTGTATCTAATTCTTTTGCTGTCCTGGGCTCAGACGTCCCTACTTCAACTCCTCAGTCTGTCCTCACTTCGTGTCCTCCCTCACAAACCCCGGTATCGACAAGACCTCGTACGACGACACCTCCCAATCATCCCTCTACTTCTCACAGGCCCAAAAAATCTTTAATCCCTCCTCTTCATCCACCTCCACATTTTACCTTCCCGGTCTCTGTACCCGAGTCTTCCCCTTTCACTGGCTCTGTTACAAGTGTGGAGGTTCATCCTCCATGTACTGTGCCTTCCTCCCCTGTCCCCTCCCACACTTCTCCTGTCTCCCCCCCCCCCCCCCGTCCCTTGGTTCAGTCCATTATAGCTCCGATCTTTACTCAAACTCTTCCTCCTCTCATCTCCAATATTCTCTAATACAACGTCTCTGAACTCCGAAACACTTGAAGCAATCTCTGAATATATTGCAGAGACCAAACCATCAATGGAGACTGATCCACCCTCTGTTCCTTCTTTCCTCTTCTCCATCTGCGCAACTCCTTTCTTCACAACGCACCGTTCCTTTGCTACTTGAACGTTTTTCCTTTGCCACCGCATGTGGACCTTTCTAACCCCTCTAGTCCGTTGGTACCCTTGCCTGCGGATTTCAGGTATCTTTATCGTTGCCAATCATGGCCTATTTACAGTGGAATATTCACGGCCTCAGGGGTAATCGGGGTGAGCTTCAGATGTTGCTCTGCCAGTTTTCCCCTGTTGGTGTTTGCTTACAGGAACCAAAATTACTCTGCCGTTATCTATCCTATCTCAGGCTATAATTTATTGTATTCTTCAGATCCTTTTCCTGATGGGACCTTTAATGAAAGTGCCCTTCTATGCACTGATTTTCCATACCATCAGCTATTTGTTCGTACTTCGCTGCATTGCACAGCAGCCCGTATCCACTTGCATAGGTGGTATACACTGTTCTTTGTATCTCTCTCCTTCTCAGGCATCATCTATCCCAGATATTGCCTTTCTTGTTTTGTCATTACCCCCACCACTTCTGTTACTTGGCAATTTTAATGCCCATCATTTCCTCTGGGGGTGGGGGGGTCTCACTGTGACTCCCGTGGTATTCAGTTAGAGGCTTTTCTTGCTACCCACCCCCTCCATGTTTTAAATACAGGTACTCGCCCATTTTGATCCTTGGACTCGTACTCTCTTGCATTGATCTCTGTCTGCTCTTCCTCCGCCGCATTAGACTTCACCTGGTCTGTTCTCCCGGATTTACATGACGGCGATCATTTCCCAGTCATTCTTACTTCCCCTTCATATTCACCACCTCTTCATAACCCACGCTGGCAATTTGATCAGGCAAATTTGAACCTTTACTTACAACCAACTGTTTTTAGTGAGGTTCCTTCTTCGTCCTCCATTGATGAGCTTTTACACCTCTTCTCGTCCTCCATTTTAACCGCAGCTTCTCATTCTATACCTCTAACTTCGGGCAGGCATTCTCAGAAATGCGTGCCTTGGTGGTCTCCTGCTTGTGCTCGTGCAGTATGTTTGAAACGCGCTGCGTGGGGAAGGTACCGGTACAATAGAACCACGGAGAGACTTCTTGATTTTAAGCAGAAGCGTGCGATTGCTCGCCGTGTCATCCGTGACGCTAAATGCACTTGCTGGCGAGATTGTCTCCACCATCACCTCTGCTCCCTCTGAGTGCAGTCTGGAAAAAAGTATGAAAATTGAGTGGTAAATATTCTCCTGACCCGGCTCCTGTTCTGCAGGTTGCCGGTGTTGATATAGCAAACCCACTAGATGTTGCCAATGAAATTGGCAGTCATCTGGTCCGTATTTCTCAGGGGCTCCATCTATGCCCCTCGTTTCTTTCCTCAAAGTCTGCCAGAGTTAGCACCCTTGGACTTTTCTTCTCTCAGAGAACAGTATAATGTGCCTTTTACACTTCAGGAACTGGAGGCAACACTCAGCTTGCCGATCATCGGCAGCTGGGCCCGACGACATTCATATTCGTATGCTACAATGTTTACATCAGTCAGCCCTTGCAGTCCTATTATGCATTTTCAATCTTATTTGGTCACAGGGAGTTCTTCCACAGCTGTGGAAATTGCCATTGTTCTCCCTTTCCGTAAACAGGGTACTACGGGACGTGAAGCCTCCCACTCGTCCCATTGCTCTTACCAGTACAGTTTGCAAAATGATGGAACGCCTGGTAAATAGACGTTTAGTGTGGTATTTAGAGACACACAACAGTCTCCACTCGTCGATATGGCTTTCGTAAAGGCCGTTCTACCATAGACCCCTTACTACACTTGGATACATATGTTCGTAATGCCTTTGCGAATAATCACTCGGTTATTGCCATATTTTTTGACCTTGAGAAGGCATATGACACAACTTGGAGGTATAATATTTTGGCCCAAGCCCAATCCTTAGGCCTTCGAGGCAATCTACCATCCTTCCTTAAGAACTTTTTAACTGACAGACATTTCCGTGTTAATAATGTGCTCTCCCCGGACTTTATCCAAGCTGAAGGTGTCCCCCAGGGATGTGTTCTGAGCACAACACTTTTTCTCCTTGCTATAAATGATTTGGCCTCTAGTCTTCCATCCAATATTTGGTCATCACTATGTTGATGACTTTGCTATTGCATGTGCAGGCGCTGACTGTTGTCTCATTACAGCTCTCCAACATGCGGTCGACCGTGTTTCCAATTGGGCCACCACACATGGGTTTAAATTTTCCAGTACCAAAACTCGCCAAATTACTTCACTACACGCTCTGTCATCTCCGATCATCCTTTGTACTTCTATGGCTCCCGTATCCCTAAATGTCAGTCAGGTTTCTAGACCTCTTTGATCGTAGGTTATCCTGGAAACCTCGCATAACCTCTCTGAAGGCAACTTGTCACAGCCGGCTGAACCTTCTTAAAACCCTTGCTCATCTTTAATGGGGAGCTGATCGTCCAACTCTCCTTCGCCTACATTCCGCCCTCATTTTATCGAAACTTGATTATGGTGACCAGATCTATTCAGCGGCCTCTCCTGCTACTCTCTCTAGCCTTATCCCCATTCATCACCAAGGATTACGTTTATGCCTTGGTGCTTTTCGCTCTTTCCCTGTTGAGAGCGTCTATGCAGAAGTGAACGTTCCATCCTTATCCGATCGCCGTGATGCCCATTGCCTGCGCTACTATGTACGCTCTCATGATCTCCGCAATCCTTCCATTTATAGAATGGTCACTGATATTAGTAGACATTCATTTGTTCGCCGCCCCTGTTTGCTCCGTCCCTTCTCTCTTCGCCTACATTCGCTCTTGTCTTCTCTTCAATTACCACCTCTCTGTTCATGTAGCATCTCCCTTTTCCCCACCCCCCTGGGAAGTTCCAGCTGTTAGTCTGTTCTTTCTCGCTCCCTTGCTCGAAAGCCCAACTTTCTACTGTAGCTTACTGCTCTCTTTTTCTTGACCACTTCCACTCTTTCTCATGCCATTGCAGTGTACACAGATGGCTCTAAGTCTTCTGGCGGCTTAGGATTTGCAGCAGTGTTTCTGGACAGCGTCGTACAAGGGCATTTACTATCTTCGGCTAGTATATTTACTGCTGAATTGTATGCCATTCTTGCAGCACTTATCCGTATTGCACCTATGCCTGTGTCATCATTTGTGGTTGTCTCAGACTTCCTTAGTGCTTTACAGGCTATTCAGAAATTTGATACACCTCGCCCCTTAGTTCTCCGTATCCAACTTTGGCTACACTGCATCTCTTCCAAGCATAAAGATATTGTTTTTTGTTGGGTCCCTGGTCATGTTGACGTACAGGGCAATGAACAGGCAGACACTTTTGCGCGGTCAGCAGTACATGACCTACCAGTTTCATATAGAGGTGTTCCATTTACGGACTATTTTGCTGCAATAGCTACCCACCTTCACACCAGTTGGCAACAACGTTGGTCTACTCTGCTCGGTAACAAACTTGAATCTATTAAACCGAGTATAGGTTACTGGCCGTGTTCTTGTCGCCAATGTCGAGGTTGGGAGACTACTCTCTCCCGTCTTCTCATTGGGCATACTCATCTTACTCATGGTTATCTCATGGAGAGGCACCCTGCTCCTCTGAGAATTCAGGTTCCATTATCGGTTAGCCACATTCTGTCAAACTGCCCACTTTATCAACGAGCACGCAGAATATACCTCCAACGTCGTCTTCGCTCCGCTGCTCTCTCTTTACCTTCCCTTCTCGCTGATGGACCCCCACCTTTCATCCGGACTCTCATTGACTTTTTGACAACTTACTGACTTCACAAACTCTGATGATACCTTCAGCCCTTTCTACCTCAATCTCTTGCTGCCCTCTACCTCCACACTATCCCCTGCCCTGCTGTTTTCTGTAACCTACTGATCATCCCTCCCCTCTTCTACCGCTCAATACTCTCGCTTCCTTCCCTACCCTGCAGTGCTGCATAGCCCTTGTGGCTTAGTGCTTCTTTTTGATTATAATAATAATAATAATAATAATAATAATAATAATCAGGAATAACAAAGCAAGAGACAACTAGATAAACAGGTGCAGCTAACTCATATTGCCCCAAAAAATTTTTTTTTAACAAGTTGGCCACCTCCCACCAAGGCAGGGTGACCCAAAAAGAAAAAAAAAAAAAAGAATCCCCAAAAAGAAAATATCTAGAGGAATATAAAGCTAAAATGGAAGATAGCTATGCCTAAATAACTACAAGAAAAATAGAACAGCAGATGGTAGTAGCTAAGGAAAATACAGCCAAGGCTAATATTAAGTCTAAAAATAAAAAATTAAATGATAAAGAATTTGGCCATTGAGAGACTGGAGAAAGAAAATCCATGTTTGACTGCTGGAACTAATAAAATCCTGATAGGGAACTGATGGTAGGTTCTATGCATGCTCTGTGGGGGAGTTATGATCTCTACTGTCAGCCATACTGGATGGGCTACAGCTCCCTCATGATAACCATGGCATGTAAAGACCATGCTAAACACCAGTGAAATGTTGCCTCTTGCCTGAAAGTTGATCCTTCTGATGGAGCTGTGACCCTCAGGTGGCAAAGACACTGGTGGAGGATAGTGGTCAAATGGGAGGTTCATTGTTGTCAATTCTTGAATCGATTGGAGTGTCTTGCAATGTATTCGGACGGCTAAGTGAACAACAGTGCACTGGCACCATTTTGGGCCTTTGTCTGCCATTGAGCTAGCTGTTGGTCACTAGTGTATATCTCCTATTACCTCTGGAATTTTGTTTTAGTACACGAGTAAGCCTAACCTTGGTTTTGATGGGTGGGTGGGGAATTAGAGATGAAGGTAATTAATTTTTTGTATGCACATGTGTATTTCTTCTGTACTGTTTAGCTACGCAAGGTGAATTTGCAAATTGCCCTTGCGATACTCCACTAATCCTCTTTGTCTATAAGCACAGTAACTTGTATATTTCATAACATGCTGGATACTTCTTGGGGGGGCCCCCCCTCCCCCACTGTAATCATGAGAAATCTCCAAGGTGGGTTTCATTACTTGAGCCATGAGGTAAAAGAAATGTTACTAGAACAAAGGTACAGATCTTCATGAGAATACTCGACAAGTTTCTCAGGGGAGCTGAAAGTTTCAACAGCTATATTGGCCTGCTGGCTGCAGGCATTGAGCCTGGTTGATCAGGCACTATATTGAAATGTAACCTTAGGCCTGACTATGAGAATGCAACTGTTTTTCTTATTAATACTATTTCATTTTACACAGGTGGAAATTATGCACCCATGGCAACTAAAGGCACCACACATGCACCTACGCAAGTTGAGGCTTCCAACGAACTGTCTGATCAAGTCAGAGATCAAATCAAATCGATTGAAACTAGCACTTCCTGTAGTACAGCCAAAGCTAGTTCCCAGGTATCCTCTGCATCTGCTGATCTTCCATATGTACCTACAAATGAAAAATGTACAAAAAATCTCCCTGAGAAACTCTCAGCAGCAACAGCAGAGCTTGCTGACCTTAAAATCCAATCTGGTAGTCATTTAGCAGTTGGTGCAAATAACCAACATTTAAAAACACTTTCACTCAATCATGCTGCTATCCCAGAGAAAAGTTGCAAAAAAGAAGGAGAATGTACGCCTGTCTCTGAAAAACAAGGTGGTTTACAAAATGAATCGAGTGTAATTCCTGAGTCAGAATATCAGGGAACTGGCAAGTCAAATAGCAATAGCAAATCAGCAACTAGTGAAAGAGATCAGTCAAAAGCTGCTGCAACCTGTGATAGATCTGTACAAGGAAAAACTTGCCAAAAAGAAAATAAAGTTCCTGCTTCAGTCAGGCAGAGAGGTTCTCAAATTAAAGAATTGGGTGTTATGTCTGAGTCAGGATGTCAAGAAAGTCACAAGATGAGTACAGAGTCAGCAACCAGTGCAAGTGCTCACCCATCAAAAACAACTTTATCTAATGCTTCTACTATACAAGAGAAAAATTACCAAAAAAAAAATGAACCTGTTTCTGCTTTAGGCATACAAAAATCTTCACAAATTGAGGACTTGGCTGTTGTTACAAAGTCAGGATGTGCAGAAATGAGCAAGGAACCTGCCAAAAATATCATTGCAAGTGCTGGAACTTCAGAATCTCAAGAAGCCCCCCAAAATTCTAGTGAACATGCCTCGTCAACTACTAAAGAAAAAGATGAGGATTTTGAATCTGGCAAGGAAGCAGTTTCATCTAAGTCAGGGTATGTAAATATTGTTAAAATATTTGAGTTGTGCTTGGTGCAATAGCAAGCATGTTGACTATAAATCACTGTATATTGAAATAACATTCCCTATTAAATACAAATAATTTTTTTTTAAGTCTGCTGTCTCCCGAGGCAGGGTTACCCAAAAAAGAAAGAAAGAAATCCCCAAAGAGAAAATACTTTCATCATTCAACACTTATACCTCACTCACACATAATCACTGTTTTTGCAGAGGTGTCCAGATAATAATAATTAATGTAGCAAAAATTTGATAGATATTAAAATATTTTTAACTTTTTTTTTTTTTTAAGCAGACAAATATACTGTGTATACAGTACTACCTTAGTGTGTATTTTCTAGATTTTCTAGAGGATGTTCATATATGTGCAGTATTTATATGTATCAGAAAATTAAAAAAAAATTATCCAGTGGTCATTTGTCTTGAGTCTCCAGTACAGTGGACCTCTGGTTTATGTCCAGTGCAGAAATCTTATTTGGAATTCGAGCACTTTTTTCGGCAAAATTTTTCCCTGGGTTTCGTACATCCACTTGGAAATCGTCCGTATCAGACGTATCCAACAGCCCAGGATGCCACTTCTCAAACGTGCCAGACTCAATCTGCCTCGATTTCTCTATCTTGTTGAGTTACCAATACTCCATGAATTGACTCGCAAAATCGTAATGACACGATTGCAAACAAACCATACCACGGGCAGGGATAGAACCCGCGATCAGTGTCTCAAAACTCCAGACCATCGCGTTCGCCACTGGACCAGCTAGCCACAATGAGATTTATCCAACTAGGTATACTATTTCTACACCATAGGAAGGTTAGCACAGGCACCACTGTGACCACAAATGCAAGTTTTTACAGACGAATCTCCAGCTAGCGTGGCCGTGATGAACTCTAGCTCAAGTCCTCTCAGAGCCGTCAACATGACTCCCGAGATCGTAATGACACGATTGCAAACAAACCATACCATGGGCAGGGAGATTAGTCTGTAAAAAATGAATATATGGTCACAGTAGTGCCTATGCTAACCTTCCTATGGTGTAGAAATATACCTAGTTGGACAAATCTAATTGTGGCTAGCTGGTCCAGTGGCTAATGTGACGGTCTGGAGCTTTGAGAGACTCTGATCGCGGGTTCTATCCCCGCCCGTGGTATGGTTTCTCCATGTGTTCATTCATTGATTTTTTGTGCTTGTTTATTGATTGCGACTAAAATAAGCCACAGTGGGGCTAAAGAAAGTTCAGAGCGCCAGCTCTGGTAAAGGTGAGAAACACGATAGAATTGAGGAAAGAACTCGTAGAATGAGTTGTAAAATTTTGTGGTAGTGGTGATTGTGGTAGAGGGTGGTGATGGCAAACAGTCAAAGATGTTGAGTTGTTGATGTGGATCGACGAAAAAGTTAGCAGGAGATAGTGTTGTGTAGGTGACAATTTGCAAAAAGGCAAGGCAATTGCATGCGGATCTTGTAAAGAATGTGCCAGCAAGTCTTCAGTAAAGGTAAAACTGATTTAAATGTTCATTTATCCATAAAAATTAGTGCTTTATATTTTTCTCAGTTTTCTGTATGTAAAACTATAGTTATTCTCTCTAAAATGTATTTTTTGTTAATATTTTTAGGTGTCTGGAATGGATTAATTGGATTTACATTATTTGTGAAATATTACTTTGGTTTTCGTCCATTTCGGATTTCGGCCAACATTTGGAATGGATTAAGGATAAAAACTGGGGTATTACTGTATATAAAAGTGAAAACAATTCTTGATGTAAATACTGACTGATTTTTACTTCTTGATTGTCACATACCTTAGCTAATCAGTTTGTAGATGAATGGCTCAGAGAACCGACATGTTGATAAAGTAGACACGTGCAACTCTTGGGTATCTTTATTCATGATTGATGGACTGACTACATCAACTCAAGGTTGAGGGACTAATTACCTCATTCTCCTCCTGTTCTTCACGATTCTCCTTTGTATGGACTGATGAAGCCACTGTGTGGTGAAACTTTTCCTCAATAAAGATACCCAAGAGTTGCACATGTCTAACTAATCAGTTTGATTTTTTAAGCTTCTTTTCTGCCTCTATTGCCAAGTCACTGTAGTGCTTTGGCACGGGTTGAGCAGTAACAACTCTGCTCAGTGTAGAGCTGAATAAAGTCAGTGTAGCTCAATGTTGGACATAGGCTGTTGGAATAGACTTGCTCTTCAACTATGTTCTTTTACCACATAGTTAATTAAGTCAGTGGCATCATGCCAAGGCAGTATGTATGAGTAAGATTGAGAGAATGCAGAGGTGGGTGAGCAGGTAGGAATGGTTTCTGTGAAAAATGCTTTATGCCTGTGGACATTCTGAGAGTGCAGTGAAGGGAGATGAATGGAAGTAACAGCTAGGGTAGATGATGTGCAAGTGACCATTAATACAGTAGGGCCCCACTATGGCATTCCGCTAATATGGACATTTCAAATTATGACCAAAACTGTACGGCTCCCCCCACCTGACTTTCTAATATGGTCACTGAGGGTCACCCAGTTTATTTACATTCTCTGTGAGCATAACTCTCCATTATGTCTGGAAACTTTGCAAAATTTCAAGTGTTTTAAAGTTGCTTCATATTTTATATATACTCCGATAATTATACTTGTGTACCTGTACTTAAATGAACTTGCACACTATGGTGGCATGCAGGTACACATTAAAATCACTGAGCATCTTATTAGTCTTGAAGACTCCATATTACAGCCTCTCCTCACTTAACGACAGATTGAGGGGCCTAAGATTCTGTCGGTAAATGAATTGATCGTTATTGAGGAATCGCCCCTTACTGACACTGCAGGTGTCACCACCCAAAATTAAAACGGTTAGTTTTATGTTTGCTGGGAAATTCCATTCAGTCTGTTAACTGTAATACAACATGCAATAGGTCAATGACTTCCGAGATATTCCAGGAAATGCATGCATAGCTGATTACATGAGATTTTTTTTTTTTCTAAATTGCACTTTTTTCAGTCTAGGATAAGTGATCTTTTATAGTTACCATTCAGGTGCATAATGTTTCCTGTTATGGTTGCAGTCCCCCCCCCCTTTTTTTTCTTTATCCTCCCTGCCCTCCACTCTTCATTAACTCTGTACATAATGTCAGTTTTTGTTGTTATTAATTTTATTAACACACTGGTCGGTTCTCACCAAGGCAGGATGGCTCGAAAAAGAGACTTTCAACATCATTCACTCCATCACTGTCTTGCCAGAAGGGTGCTTTACACTACAGTTTTTAAACTGCAACATTAACACCCCTCCTTCAGAGTGCAGGCACTGTACTTCCCATCTCCAGGACTCAAGTCCGGCCTGCCGGTTTCCCTGAATCCCTTCATAAATGTTACTTTGCTCACACTCCAACAGCACGTCAAGTATTAAAAATCATTTGTCTCCATTCACTATCAAACACGCTCACGCATGCCTGCTGGAAGTCCAAGCCCCTCGCACACAAAACCTCCTTTACCCCGTCCCTCCAACCTTTCCTAGGCCGACCCCTACCCTGCCTTCCTTCTACTACAGACTGATACACTCTTGAAGTCATTCTGTTTCACTCCATTCTCTCTACATGTTCGAACCACCTCAACAACCCTTCCTCAGCCCTCTGGACAACAGTTTTGGTAATTCCGCACCTCCTCTTTACTTCCAAACTATGAATTCTCTGCATTATATTTACACCATACATTGCCCTCAGACATGACATCTCCACTGCCTCCAGCCTTCTCCTCGCTGCAACATTCATCACCCATGCTTCACACCCATATAAGAGCGTTGGTAAAACTATACTCTCATACATTCCCCTCTTTGCCTCCAAGGACAAAGTTGTCTCCACAGACTCCTAAGTGCACCACTCACTCTTTTTCCCTCATCAATTCTATGATTCACCTCATCTTTCATAGACCCATCCGCTGACACGTCCACTCCCAAATATCTGAATACATTCACCTCCTCTATACTCTCTCCCTCCAATCTGATACCTAATCTTTCATCACCTAATCCTTTTGTTATCCTCATAACCTTACTCTTTCCTGTATTCACATTTAATTTTTCTTCTTTGCACACCCCTAAACCAAATTCATCACACCAATCTCTGCAGCATCACTCAGAATCTCCAAGAGCACAGTGTCATCAGCAAAGACAGCTGTGACAACTCCCACCCGTGTGTTGATTCTTTAGCTTTTAACTGCTCCACGGCCTCTTGCAAGACCCTCGCATTTACTTCCTTACAACCCCATCTATAAATATATTAAACAACCACGGTAAGACATCACACATTCCTGTCTAAGGCCTACTTTTACTGGACAAATTTCCCTCTTTTCACATGCCTCTAACTTGACCTCACATCCACGTAAAAACTCTCACTGCTTTCAGTAACCTACCTCCTACACCCATATCACACTTGCAACATCAGCCACTTGCCCCCCTATCCACCCATGTCATTAATAAACGCCTTTTCCGAATCCATAAATGCCACAAATACCTCTATAAGGCCTTATCTAAATACTGTTACCATTATATGTTTCACTGTAAACACCTGGTCCAACACACCCCCTACCATTCCTAAAGCTCCTTGTCATGGCATGCTTCCAATTCTCCGTCCTTACTCTTAAATCTTTCAAATATAACACTACCATACACTTTACCAGGTACACTCAACAGACCTTATCCCCTATAATTTTTGCACTCTCTTTTATCCCATTTTGCCTTTATACCAAAGGAACTATGCATGCTCTCTGATCCAATCCCTAGGTACCATGAAACCCTCATCCATACAGTTATTAAATAATGCACCAACCACATCCAAAACTATATCCCCACCTGCTTTTTAAACATTTCTATCTTTATACCATCAATCCCGCTGCCTTACTCACCCTATTTTCATTTTACCTACAGCCTCAACGAACTTCCCCCACAGCACACTCAACAGGCTCGTCCTCACACCTCCAAGATTTATTCCTCCTTGCCCTATACACGAAATCACAGCTCCTACCGCTATCTTCATCAACATTAACAATTCCTCAAAATATTCCCTCCACTTACCCAAAACCTTCTAACATTCTTCTCCATTTAATAACTCCTCCTCTCCCTATTTTTAAACTGACAAATCCAATTGTTCCTAGCTTCCTAAACTTGTTAATCTCCTCCAAAACTTTTTCTTATTTTCAACAACAAAATTTGTTGATAACAGCTCACACACTCCTCTCACTTGCTCTTTCCCCCCCCCCTTATTACATTGCTTCACCACTCCCTTTTAATACC